GCCGGTTGCTCATGGCAGTTCCTTCACAACCCTGAGGAATGGGAAGCATGTGAAGCCACTCCGAAATTGTCAACACAGGCAGGACTCTATTTCAAAGCCACGTGTGGTTGGGAACCACTTGTGCAAAACACTTTGCGCTCCGGGCACAAAAGGACCTTTGCGGAGTTGACATTGATGGCGGACTACTTGAATGTGACACAACCCCACAAGAATTCCAAGAAGGAGTTGTTGAAACAGTGTCAGGAGTGTTTCGGAGAAGAGTTTGCAGAAGCTTGCCGTGAAGCTGCAGAGTCAGACACTCAGAAGGCTCCTGATGCAGATATGCCTGATGGTTTTCTATCAGCATTGTTGGACAACATGGAGCCCTCAGATAAACAGGATTTCCAGGACTTGGAGAAAGCCCTGATGCGACAGGAACAGCAGGCCGAGCAACAACGTTGGCAAAACATGTGGGATGAGAAGGTTGCAGAACAAAAGGCACCCTGGCAAGACCTTCCAGTGAGTTTCTGAGCTAGGCTTAGACTCAATTGTTGTGATTCAAATGTGACTCAATTGTGACTCAATTGTGATTCGATTGCAGGCCAAAAGAGCGAGGAGAGCTGTGGCAAAAGCCAAAGCAAAGTCAAAACCGTGTGCCAAAGCAAAATGCAAAGGCAAGGGCAAAGGAAAAGGCAAAGGCCGTGGAAAAGGCAATGGGTTTGGAAGAGGCACAGCTTTGGGCTTGCAAGGGCTGGCTCGCAGGCAAGCAGCGTCACGAAAACGCAAGGAGCAGGTGCTCGAACAAATGCCCGGACCAGCAGTGGAAGAAGATCCAGATATCTCTGAACTCAAAGAGGAGTTGGAAAGCCAGCTGTTGGACATGAATGTCATGGACGATCGAACAACTCCTGATTCATTGCCGGCAGAGCCTTGTGTCCATGCTCCCAGTCCAAGAGAGCCCGCCCCCTCACCGGAGCCTTGCGCCCATCCTCCCAGTCCACACACTGGTGAAGGAGAGCCCGCCCCCCCGGCGGAGGAGCCCTGTGTCGATGCTTCCCGTCCACACTCTGTGCTTGGTGGTGCCGGGGTCGCACACGAGGAAACAAAAGTGCAAGCACAGCCATCCAATGGGACCTTGCCGGATCCAATATCCGGGCCAAGGGACAGTGGAATGGCACAGGCCTCGTCCTCGAGCGGATCAGCCCCTGAGCAGGTCCTTGATGATGCTGCACATCGTGGCCAGGCATCGCAACGTGCTCCGCGCGAGCATGGTCCACACTTGAATAACACTCCCGACTTCCTGTCGGAGTTGGATCCACCCGAAGACTTCAAGTTGCGTCTCAGCTTCAACGATCATCGCTTCAAAGCCGAGATCATGACAAAACAGTATGTGTCAAGTGAGGGGAAAAAGTCTTGCAGCAAAAGCTTTGCTAACGACAGATCAGACTGGAAGCAAGCACTGGCTCAAGTGCATCGCTGGGCATGGACAGAGTGGGAGAAGGCCAAACCCGAAAGGCAACTGCCGCCTCATTGTCAGCCTGGTACTATCCCTGAGGCTGTCCTGGAACGCCTTGCCCCGATTATCGACGCAATGCCTTCGCCTACAAAGTATGCCAAGTAGCCTCTTCAGTTTTTTTGTGATAAATACATCACAGGGGAAAACATGTCAGCAGGTAGCAGATTGCTGTCAATGTCATGTATGCAAGTATCGTGTTCTTAGCTTCAAGTCTTCGGTCGATTCAAGAAGTCACAGGGAGTGAGTTCATCCAGCCGAGTCCAATGTGTGTGAATCTGCTCCTGCTGTCATAGCGGCAACATGTTCGATTCACAATTTTGGCTTCAGCTTGTGCGCAGTTGCTGTTCATTCTGTGATTGAGTCTTTACAGTTACGTTGCAATTACAGTTGCTGAATGCCTGAAGTGTGCAATTGAAGATGACATGACATGAATCATGAAGTCTCACCATAGTTATGCTGCAGATTGCTCGGGGAGAAAGCGATCAGCAAAAACAAGCCTTCCTGACATTGTGTCCTGTTAGTTTGTGGAATGTGCTTGATATGCCAGGCAAGCATTGAATCCATTTGTTGCTCAAGTTGGACCAGAGGTATGGTTTAAAGTTATGTGGGACAACAAATCAATGTATTGATGTCAGTGAATCACCAACATGTCCAATTTCCAGTGGCCGTGCCAGCATGTGCTGGGATCATCGCTGGTCTTCAGTGGTAGTGCTGGGCCTGTGAAGCCAGCACGCAAGAAATGCAAAAGGAAAAAGAATGCTGCAGAGTCATTTGAGTTGGGAGGTAGATCAGTGGAGCGCCCGTGTACTCTTCCTGCCTTGAATTTTACCGATACAGTTACAGGAACTGATGAAATTGATGATCGGTTTGACACTTGGGTAGAGGACGTCTTCGAGCAAACATCGCGATTGCAATGTTCGCATTTCCTTCCGTTTGCTTCCTTGTCTTTCTCCCCAAGGCCGGAGTCTGTTCAAAGTGTTATGGGTCACAGATTTTGTTATAATTTGAATTTTTCATTAATTAATGTAATACTACATAAACTTATCATCATCCTCAATTGATCTTGCTGGCCAGGTCCACAGAGCCTTGGTGTCACAGGCTCATGGTTGCAAGGATTTTGGTGCAAAATTTCTTGCGCTACGACCAGGACTTCAATGTGGGCAGAGTGGCCATGAAATGGCATGGGCTGATTGGATTGGCTTATCCCGCATTGAAGAACCGAACCATCGAGTGTCAGCTGATGTGCATCATTAGCCGTAGCTATGACAACAGAGCCAAGATTGAAGCAGCTTCAATCGATGTGGGACCCCATCAATGTGCGGGGTTGCTGCAATACATTGAATACTATGCAGGGAGCGCCAAACTTTCGAAGAAATTGATCGAATCCGGTCTCCGTGGGTGCAGCTTTGACATACTCTACAATGACGAACACAACATGTTGCTAGCGAAAGGGTTGCGTTTGTTTCTGGATGCAGCCACAGCGTGTGAGAAGAAGGCTTTGCATTGGTGGGGCACTCCGTGCTCTTCTTTTGTCATTATGTGCTCATTTCGTTCCCAACGTGCTGAAAGCAACGGCTGGGAAGGCGCATGGACTGAGCGGGACTTTGTATTGCAGGGAAATTGTCAGGCCCTTGTTTGCTCACTTGGGATTTTCCTGGGATGGGCATGTGAGTGCTGCCCTGTGGTGGAACAGCCCCTCAGCTCCTGTATGCCGCACCTCGAGTGTGTCAAAACAGTTCTATCCTTTTGTGGCTTCGAAAAGACTTGCACCTACATGGGTGCCTTTAACGGAAAGTCAGTGAAGCCCTTGCAACTGTGGCATTTGCCTGGGTTTCATTTTGAGAACCTGGCCAGGCCCAAACCAGATCATAATGCTTTCATTGGTCTGGTAAACCGAGGCGAAGACGGCCGTTTCACCGGTGTGCCAGCAGATGTACAGGCTAGTGGGGAATACACTTCGATGTTCGGGGAAGCAGTTGCGCAGATTGTCCGGAATCTATTGTGACGATCCGCTTCGTCAGCCAAAATACGTTTCATAGCTTACTGAGCTGCATGCTTTTTATTATTCAAGCCAATCTGCTGTGACTGGTTTTTGGGGTGTGAATGCTGTGACACAACAGCAACAGCAGGCCATGCAGCAACACAGGTAAAACAGTGCGATGACTGATGAGAAGGTTGCATAACAATTGAGACACAAGTCTGATTTGCTTGCAGCCTTATGTCGATGTGGCTGTCTCAGTGAACACACTTGGAGGAACAGAATTGATATGGCTCTTTCAGTGAATGAGTATGCGCCGGCAAATCAGGGCCTTGGACGTCGTTCTTGCCTTCTTTGCCCCACTTGAGGAGGATTCCTCAAGATTTCCTCAATTCGAATCGTCAACCTTGCCAAGCAATGCCATGCTGACTCAAGATTTCCTCAACCTTGCAGCAACCTGTTTAAGTTGACAGGTTGTTCTGAGCAGTGTGAGGAAACAATAGATGCCATCCACTGTGACCTTGCCCGATGTGCCCATGTCGGTGCAAGGGGTCAGTGGCATGGCACAAGTGAACACACTTGAGGAACAATTTCTTGTTGACAATTTGGGAGTCACACCTTTGCAGCTTCTGCCGGCTCTTGCACAGACGTCCTCAGCCTTGCGAAAACCTGTTGGTGTTGCCGGGCTCTCACCCGAAGAGCCATCAAGTTTCCTTGCTTGGGGACACAAAGGCCAGCCATCTAGTGTGACCTTGCCCGACGTGCCAATGTCGGTGCAAGGAGTCACTGGAATGGCACAGCTTCCGGTTGCTCTGTTCACACACCGGCTTGGACAGAAATAATACTACATTTTTTCATGGTTTTCTCAACAATTTTCAGTGTCTGCAAATCTCCAGTTACATTAATTCTGGACAAACCTACCGTGTCGTAACGTATCCAATAAGTCTTTGTTCAGGTTGACTTCTGATTTTGATAACTTTGGTTTTTGCCAAGCCCACTGATCCAGCCCCCGCGGATCCAACCCTACAAACGAGCATATTGAGAATTTCAGGTGGCCCACGACCTTCATCGTCTACATATTGTCCCGTGCGCCTATGCGTCCACGCAACATAATCCCTTACGCTAAGATCTAAAACCCAGAGCGGGCCCCCCGCATTCGACACATAAGCTGCAATTCCTTGGGGTTGCTCTTGCTCTGTATCTGAAGACTCTGCTACACTAGATTCTTGATCGGGATATAAACCTTGCTCAACATCGGACCACTCCGGCGTGCTCGCCTCAGCGTGCATTGGCATCTCCTCTTCAGTTGAAGAAGGCGCTGCACTACTCTCCTCCTCAGCCTCTGCTGAATCTGCGTACCCGGAACTCCGAGCCATTGCAACATGCGACTTCACTCGCGCGGCTGAAGCTTTAGGATTGGGCTGTGCACCTACCAGTGGGGCCTGGGCCTGCGATGATGATGCTGATGCTTGCTTTGCGGCTGCCTCACCTTCGTGCTTGAATTTGCATTTCTCGCCAAACCTGCACTTACCGGTTTTCGACCACATCTGGCACACGGCCTGCGCTCCAACTGTGGTAGTCGGGGTTGAAGTCGATGGGCTGGCTTTAGGCTTGGCTGTGAGTTTCGGGTTAGGGGCTGACTTTGCTTTGGCTTTTGGCTCTACGCCGTCATGCTTGAAGTAACATTTGTCACCGAACTTGCACGAACCAAATTTCTTAAGAAATGGACATGGCTTCGTAGCGGCGCTGCCACCATTGCCCTTTCCATCCCCCTTGCCCTTTCCTCCCCCTTTTCCCTTAGCCGCCTGTGAATCCGGCTCGTTTTGGCGATTGTTTTTCACATGTTCGTCTGCACTCAGCAGCTGCAGCTGTTGATCGATTAGCGCTACCATGGATTCGACACCCCTAACCGTAGGCCGAATGATATCAGGCTGCGTGCGCAACAGACCCAGCATTGTCCTAAAGCGATCATGCCGCCTTTCAAGATTCCGAACTAGGGTCTCAAGTGCCTTCAGCTCCTCATACGGCGCAACCTGGGGCAGTGATAGCGATGTCGCGCGAGTACGCGCGAGGCGCCAGCGACGCAATGTGCTAAGTGCTTCCTTCGCCGTGGAAGCAGGCTGCAAACTACGGACAAACGCATGAAGACTTTGCACTTCGGCTGCCCCTCCGGGCTGCAACGTCTCCAATACACCTTCCAGCAAGTCGACTGCCCGAATCGGCTCGCTTTCATCGTTCTTTTCAAGAACCCCTTGCTTTAGCTCTGAAGGGATACACCTTATCAAGAGAAGGACTAACCCATTTTCATTCTCAAGATCGGCTAGTGGAACCTCTCTCAGTGCTTCAAGTGATACTAGTCCAGATGATCGTCTCTGATGGCGCTGATCGGCAATCTGAAACTGGTTCTTTACGTAATCACCGAAACTGCCCGCAATCGTACTGGAAATAGTTTCTACTTGTTTGATCCACGTCCTGAGTCGCATGCCCAGTTCCCAGGGCTCCCCAGAACCTAGATTGAGCAATGGAACATCCTGAAGTAACTTCCAACGCCCGAGCGGTATTGCACCTGCCGTGACACTCGCCACGGATCCGTGCTCCGGTTTCGGCTCTGCGGCCGAAGGCAATTCCCGAGATCCATCCTGTTGCACCTCCAAGCCGGGCGGGTGCTCTGCAGGCTGTGGTCCTGCGGCTGTGTCAAGATTCTCGGTTTGATGACCGGGTGGCATACAGGGATCTGCGGCCCACCACTCGGCTTCATACTCATTTATGCCTGCTTCATCCACAATGTTTTCCCCTTCAAGGAGATCACTGTGCAAGGCATAAGCTTCCCATGTCTGGTGCAAGACTTCCAGGTTCTGCTCCATCGCAGCCTGGCGGTCCGACATGGTAGCTACTGAGGCGTGTAGACCTGCAACGTCCTGGAACGTCTCATCAAGACGCTGCATATGTTCACATACCGTTGTGCCCAGCGTATCCATCTCGGCACCTCAGGCATGACTGCCCCGTCATGTTCCCCAAGGCCCTTTTGGACCAAGTCATCTAACCTGCCATCATTCCGCTTACACGCTTGCTCAAGCAAAGTAAGACGGGACTGCAGATCATCCTTTTCCGAGCTGGCTTTCCGGAACCCAGCATCAAGATTATTTTGGATAGTCACAATGTGAGCCTCAACCTGGGCTTGCCACTGTTGTGGGCCCAACACTGCAGCCTCGGCTTTCGCCTGGACTACGCTCAGCTGCTCGCGAGTGATTGCAAGCTGCTGCCTCATGTCCACACTGAGTTGTTCACGTGTGGAGTCGATCTGCTGCTTCAGTGACTGGTTTTCGTTCATAAGACAGGCCAAGGTACGGCTATGGGCCTCCATCCCTTGTTGAAGCCTGTCCAAATTATCCACCATGGCATTGTATCCAGACTGGAGCGTTACACATGCATCCCCCAAGATGTTGGATCTGTACTGCATACGATCATTGAGTTCGACTACGGCCGCTCTTATGTCGTGAAGCAGAGTAGCATCCAGCGGAGCTGCCTGTGCAAACTGCTGAAGGGTTGACGTCGGGATCTCCAGCCGTGTTGCCTGCACAAGGGTAGCCGTCTGCAAGGGCGGTGGTGACTCAGTAACGCCTGCGGGGTTGCTATGTGGAGCCCTTGGGCTCATAACCTGTTGGTTATGAGCTGCATCATAACGCGTCAAGTCGCGCCTCTGCACAATGTTCAAATCGGGACTTGATGCTGCATCGGTTCTCGGGCTATAATGATCAGGCAGCGCTCGTTGGGTAGGACGATTACGGGGTGTACGGGGTTCACGGAAATCGTCTGCTTCCATCGTCGTCGTTCACCTCCAGATCCCGTCTGCAGTCCTCCACACCCAATTCCAAACCTGATCATCCTGAACACCCTTCACCACATGGGCGAGTGCTCACGAGCCCATTCTTTTCTCGAACTTGAGCCACAAGTCGCCGTTGAAAGCTGTATACTGTGACATGCAAAGCTCATCTTCGTGAACTGCAAAAGGAAATTAAGATGTTGCATGCTTTAACGATCAAGCTTACAGCTATCGTCAGCACGAGGACAAAAGGAGTATCCTGATACATCTGGTTCCCCACAAACATGAGCATAATCTTCTGATGACGGAGTTGCAGTGGGAGCATAATCCCCGTGCATCCCCCAGAAGCCTCAAGGCCCCAGCCCCAAGACTCAAAAACCCTTCGCCCGATTGATTTGTGCATCTTGCGCCACGTCATCGGTGACCGCCTGTCCGCACTGCAGAAGTATGCCGGCTCTCTGCCCGCACTGCACAGGAATGCCGACTGCCTGCCCGCACTGCACAGGTATGCCGACTGTCTGCCCGCACTGCACAGATATGACAACTGCAAAAAAACATGCAAGCGACGTGCCAACCCTACCCTATTTCTTTTTTTTTTTTTTCACCCCCCCTTCTTGCGTCTGCCGGAATGAGTGGTCCTTGATCTCCTTACACAGCTACCTTCCCTCCTACTTCGGCCCGCAAGCGGACCAGTCACCCTCGAAGCGGCAGGGTGCTGGGCCCCGCCGCGTCAAGCGAGGTCCAACACGAGCTCGAGGGCCGGCGCGTCTACCGAGGCGCGATGCGCCGCCGGCCATGCCCGACCGGCCGCCGACAGGGCTGTCGCACGCTGAACAGCGACCGACAGCTGGGTCCACCAACGCCGAGCCCAAGCTGTGGCCGCGGCATTGCGCAGAGCGGGAGGGACATGTTACTATTTGCTTGAGTACTAAGTAGCAGTCGTCGTCGTGGTAGTGGTAGGCCTGGTGGCGGTAGTCGTGGTAGCGGTAGTGGTAGTGGCAGTGGTAGGGGTAGTGGAATGGCAGTGGCAGTGGTTGCGGTAGTGGTAGTGCAGTTGCAGCAGTAGTGGGAGTAGTAGCAGTAGTAGCTGTAGCGGCAGTAGTAGAAAGGGTAGTAGTAGCAGTAGCAACAGCAGCGCCACAGCCCGGCCTTGTTATGCAGGTGTCTTGCTTCGCTTGGCGGGTTTGGGTGGTATACGCGGGAGTTTGAGCGTTGGGGTGGGATTCAGGCTTCAGGCTACTTGGAGGAGGATGGGGCTTAGTAATTTGGCGGCTATAAATAAGGTAACTATACTTACAACTCCAACTAGGGTACTTATAACCTTACTAAGTCCCGTGGTCCTCCAAGTAGGGGTTGAGGTCGCAGGCAGCACGACGAGAAACTCCGTTGGCCTGGCCTTCCTCCAGCGGTTCCTCTAGGGGGGGGGCGGCTTTGGCGAGCAGCACTCGCGACGACCCGCCGCTTGCTCGGAGACCCCAAACCGGGCACTGCCGAAAAGAGAAAGGGGAGGGGGGAGGTGGCATATGGGGCCGTGGGGTGGCTAGGGGTGTGGCAGTGGCGGTGGGGAGGAAGGAAGTGGGAAGGAAAGAAAACTTTTGCAATGATACACTATGTGCGTGCGTGCGAACGAACCGGGGGAGCATCATATACCCACCTAGCAAAAAAGAATTTCCACGCCTACCTAGGCGACGCGAATTTCCACACCCACCAAAAAAGAATTTCCACATGTCGCCCGCTTCGCCCAAGGATTTTGCTGACCGAAACCCTTGTTTCAACACTGGAGGCCAGGGCTAACAGGGGCGTCTCGTGACTGAAACCTTCTTCTTGGTACAGTCCAGGGCGCCCTGGGTTGTACTAAGATAGGGTTCTGCCGACCGAAACCTTTCTTAGATAAGATAGGGTTCTGCCGACCCAAACCTTTCTTAGTACAGTCCAGGGCGCCCTGGGTTGTACTCAGATAGGGTTCTGCCGACCGAAACCTTTCTTAGTACAGTCCAGGGCGCCCTGGACTGTACTACAGTCAGGGTACCGGTACCCCTGTCTTAGTACAGTCCAGGGCGCCCTGGGTTGTACTAAGATAGGGTTCTGCCGACCGAAACCTTTCTCAGTACAGTACAGGGCGCCCTGGGTTGTACTAAGATATAGGGTTCTGCCGACCGAAACCTTTCTCAGTATACAGTCCAGGGCGCCCTGGACTGTACTACGGTCAGGGTACCGGTACCCCTGTCTTAGTACAGTCCGGTGCGCCCTGGGTTGTACTAAGGGAGGGTTCTGCCGACCGAAACCTTTCTTAGTACAGTCCAGGGCGCCCTGGATTATACTAAGATACGGTTTTACCGACCGAAACTTTTCTTAGTACAGTTCAGGGCGCCCTGGGTTGTACTAAGATAGGGTTCTGCCGACCGAAACCCTTCTTAGTACAGTCCAGGGCGCCCTGGACTGTACTACGGTCAGGGTACCGGTACCCCTGTTTTAGTAAAGTCCGATACGCCCTGGGTTGTACTAAGGGAGGGTTCTGACCGAAACCTTTCTTAGTACAGTCCAGGGCGCCCTGGGCTGTACTAAGATAGGGTTCTGCCGACCGAAACCTTTCTTAGTACAGTCCAGGGCGCCCTGGACTGTACTACAGTCAGGGTACCGGTACCCCTGTCTTAGTACAGTCCAGGGCGCCCTAGATTGTACTCAGATACGGTTTTGCCGACCGAAACCTTTCTTAGTACAGTTCAGGGCGCCCTGGGTTGCACTAAGATAGGGTTCCGCCGACCGAAACCATTCTTAGTACAGTCCAGGGCGCCCTGGACTGTACTACGGTCAGGGTATCGGTACCCCTGTCTTAGTACAGTCCGGGGCGCCCGGGGTTGTACTAAGGGGGGGTTCTGCCGACCGAAACCTTTCTTAGTACAGTCCAGGGCGCCCTGGATTGTACTAAGATACGGTTTTGCCGACCGAAACCTTTCTTAGTACAGTTCAGGGCGCCCTGGGTTGTAGCAAGATAGGGTTCCGCCGACCGAAACCCTTTTGAGTACAGTCCAGGGCGCCCGGGACTGTACTACGGTCAGGGTACCGGTACCCCTGTCTTAGTACAGTCCGGGGCTTGCGAGCTGTCCTGCTCCCAAGGAATGCCTGACCACCATCATCCGTACCGTGACCTTCGGGCCGGCTGTACCCTTCTCTTACTACAGTCCAGGGCGCCCTGGACTGTACTAAGAAAGGTTTCGGTCGGCAGAACCCTATCTTAGTACATCCCAGGGCGCCCTGGACTGCACTAAGAAAGGCTTCGGTCGGCAGAACCCTATCTTAGTACAACCCAGGGCGCCCTGCACTGTACTAAGAAAGGCTTCGGTCGGCAGAACCCTATCTTAGTACAACCCAAGGCGCCCTGGACTGTACTAAGAAAGGCTTCGGTCGGCAGAACCCTATCTTAGTACATCCCAGGGCGCCCCGGACTGTACTAAGAAAAGCGTCGGTCGGCAGAACCCTATCTTAGTACAACCCAGGGCGCCCTGGACTGTACGAGTACCAAGAAAGGCTTCGGTCGGCAGAACCCTATCTTAGTACAACCCAGGGCGCCCTGGACTAAGAAAGGCTTCGGTCAGCAGAACCCTATCTTGGTACAACCCAGGGCGCCCTGGACTGTACTAAGAGAAGAAGGTTTCGGTTAGGAGACGCCTCTCGCAAGGGGCCTTGGCCTCTACAGCAAACTTCTCTCTTAGTACAGCGCAGCCCGCCCTGGACAATGTTGAGACAAGGGTTTCGGTCAGCAAAATCCTTGGGCGAAGCGGGCGACACATTTGGTAAGGATGTCGCTTAAGTGGATGTGGAAATTCTTTTGTGGTGGGTGTGAAATTCGCCTCGATTAGGTAGGCGTGGAAATTCTCTTTTGGGGTGGGTATGATGCTCCCCCGGTTCGTTTGCACGCACGCACATATCGTATCCTTCGTGTTCATTGCAAGGGTCTTCCTTCCTTCCTCCCCACCGCCGCTGCCACACCCCCAGCATCCCCCAGGGCCCCATATGCCAGGGTTAGGGCTAGGGTGAGGGTCGGGTGCCCTTGAACGTTCCGTTGGCCTGGCCTCCCCGGTTTATGGTCTCCGAGCAAGCGGCGGGTCGTCGCGAGTGCTGCTCGCCAAACCCGCCCGCCCAGAGAGGAACCGCTGGAGGAAGACCAGGCCAACGGAATTTCTCGCGCTGCCTGCGACCTCAACCCCTACTCTGAGGATCATGGGACTTAGTCAGGTTATACGTAGCCTAGTTGGAGTTATAAGTATAGCTACCTTATTTATAGCCCAAGTTACTAAGCCCCATGATCCTCCAAGTAGCTTGAAGCCTGAATCGCACCCCACCGCTCAAACTCCCGCGTATACCACCCAAACCCGCCAAGTGAAGCAAAAAATCTGCATAACAAAGCCGGGCTGTGGCGCTGCTGTTGCTACTGCTACTACTACCCTTTCTACTACTGCCGCTACAGCTACTACTGCTACTACTCCCACTACTGCTGCAACTGCACTACCACTACCGCTACCACTATACCACTACCACCAGAACTGCCCCTACCGCTACCGCTACCATTACCACTACCCCTACCACTTCCACTACCACTACCGCTACCACGACTACCGCCACCAGGCCTACCACTACCACGACGACGACTGCTACTAGTACTCAATTAAATAGTAACATGTGAGTGGAAAGACCTTCATCAGTGGCCTTTTTCGGGCTTCAATTCCAGCTAAATCCCTCCCAGACGCAAGTCCAACGGACTTTAAATCCGCTGGACTTGTGTCTGGGAGGGCAGGGGCCGAGCATCATGTGCATCAGCGGGTCTTTTCGCA